TATTGTGTGCCTCTTCGCGCTAATGATAATGCTTTTTCGCTTGAATGAATATTCCTTTGCGGTTAATGAACAGCAAAAGGTGTACTACCGCTATTCTTAATGATATTAATACCATATAAAATGTATAATTAATTTGGCAATTATATTGATAACGTCGCAATGCTTTATTAAACAAATCACACATAGTGTACGCTATAGTTATTCCTTGTATAGCTGTCGAACAGGTAAAGCTGCTTCAGTCTTTCGAGCCTTGCAAAGTTTGATTAAAATTGATGTAGTAAGCAATACGCCATGCATAAGCCGGCAAGCAACAAATCAGCAAATCAATTGACTGGCGGTAGTAAAAAAACAATTTCACAACAAACCATTAAAATGTCTGAGTTCGAAGAATATGGAAAACCGCAGTAAAGGAATATTAACGCTGCGCGGATTAGATAGGTCACTGGGGATATCACTAGCTGCAAACTATTAAAAATAGAAAGATCACCAATGCGTACTAGCAAATTTTTCCCGCCACATTTGCCTCTAATGTAATAGAAATATTTTCTGATATGCGAGGATGTGATATTCTATTCTTTTTGTATGGCTTGGTAATCAAAAGTTATTAATTATAATTTTCGTCATTAATAGACCTCGGATCGAGCGAATTGTTCTCCCATTTCAGAGCACGTGTCATTCCATAGAGTATCATTTCTTTGTTTAACAGTTGCACATGAGAAGACACATGAATATGGATACAGCTCAAACGAAGGATCTTATTCTCAAAGGAATGACACCAGGTCTGAAATGGGAAAACATTACGCCCGAGTCGAGAAGGTGTATTGGACTAAGTTAACCAGCTCGCGAGCTTGAATCTACGTAATATTGATTTTGTTTTTGAGCGACAGCTATTTATGCAAGCTTGACATGCAAACCAATCTTACGAGAAGAGATTTTTTTTCCAATCTGTCCTCTGGAATGTTTATTTATCAGTTCCGACATCAAATGAATTTATGCTTGACAAAAGCAAAAAAAGAAAAAAAATTCCTACGCGCAGATAGTTTGGATGATGAGGCGAGCTCCCCTGCCTAAAATTTAGTATCCATTGCCTTGCTTTCCTGATTATTAGCTTTATCTTGTTCATGTCCATTGTCTTGGACTAAAATGTCCCGAATGTTACTGGGGCAATCGCCAAGTGTCTCGATATTGTCATTTTTCCCGCTCGTATCCTGCTTCATTATTCTCGGCTCACTACAAATGGCTGTTACTTCGCCATGTGCTTCGCTGACCAGTTGAAGAACCTCAAGACAGCACGATGTGTTACATCGAGGATTTTTCTTCAAGTTATTGATTTTAGCCACGATACTTGACAGATATTGAGCTGATAATTAGGATAAAATTAGAAAGTTGAAGTTTTAAAATAATTGGTTATATGAATTAGAGAAAAATTAACACATTAACAGAAAAAAACGAAAAAAAAACCAAAAAAACAAAACAACAACAACAACAACAAA